CGAGAGGATAACACTATAGGTTAGGTAACTTAATTTCAGTGTTGCTTATCTGCTTAATATATACTAAGTAATTTCAAGAATCTGCGGTTTCGAGGCGCTGTATGCTGAAAGACGGGTATTAACTCAGTTCAGCAGCAGATGCAAATCAATTAGGTACAGTATATGATAAGCTTAGAGGTCTAAAAATATATTATTGTTATTATTATTATACATGGCTCATATTGTAAGATGTGTATTTTGGAGTACTAAACCCCGTATTTTGGACTATCTGTCACAACAAAGGTACCATAATACCCAGAACTCCCAGACCCCAGACAATAAAGAAAAGTTAAAAGTTAATAAAAGCGATACTGAAATCTTTAAACCAATATAGTTAGCTGACTTTAGTCCTTATCAACAGATTACTACTTTATTGAAGCTATTAAAACGGGAAGTAAAAGCTTTAATATAGATAAAAAATAGCAATGATAATATGATAATTGTTAAATAAACGAATGAAAAGACAATAGAGCTCTGTAAATTATATAACATTTATATTTAAGTGCATTTATTTGACTTTAAGTTTAACATTCAGATGGCTTTCGTAATTTTATGGAGACTACAATAGCGACAATGTAGGAGTTGAAATAGGTGAATTTGTATTCATTACTTTACTCAATCTTTACTTTACATCGTTTATTAATAGGTACCGACAGAGGATGATAAATCAATAAACTTTTCTATTACGAGAACGACGATTGGAAAGTTGGAACTGTGAAGTTTAATTTGGACGAGTTACGAAGATAATATATGTACCAAAAATAGCCTCAATATTTTATTAATAAAGCAAAGAACTATCATAATGTACATTTTAAAGCAAAACGGATTTTCGCAAACGTTGGATTTTGATTCAGCTTTGTTGTTTTGGTAAAAGTATAGCGTCCAACGCAGTGCTGTCAGAGCACTCACACTAGAGGCTCACGATTAAAACCTTTATTGCATTTTGAAGTGAATTTTATGAAATTAAACCTCTATTGTTGCTATGCTATATTTTAAACAGAATTACATTCATAGCCTCTACTTCAAAGTTGACACTGAGCCGAAGGTTCCTTTCAATCGAAGGTTGAATACTGTACCTTCACGGGGATAAAAATATATCATTTTAAAAGCATGAAAATTAATAAATCGGCTAATTCTTAGCGCTTTTGTTCTATAATGTACTTTCTGGATACCAATCACTTTTTGAGTAATTCATGAATGAAAGCTTAATTTTTTTAATTATTAAACTCGAGACTATAAACTTTTTTTATAAAAAAATCGATTAACGGTTTTTAACTACACTAGACTCAGTAGCAAACCTTTTTTATTGTAATATTATTGGTACCAACATAGGTATTAAAATTAAACCCATAGTTGAGCGCAACGCTGTTACGTTATAAAGCTTCAATGAAATGAATCATTATTACATTTTGAAGTAGATTTTCACCTTTTATTTGTAACTCTATTTAAAAAATTTAAAGCAAATTTATCGTCGCGATTCTGTAATTTATCATTTTCTATCTGCACCAAATAATCATACTTTTAATTTATATGGATATTAGTTTTTTGTGTCTCTTCAGTGGCTCCAACCGCCTGTTAAAATCGAATTCGCTTTTCAGCTTTTCTATTAATTTCCGCTGTCCGACATTTCGATTTCGTTATCATTCGTCTTGCAAAAATGTTTAATAAAGAAAAACAATCTAATTAAACTATTACATTGTACATTGTAATAGATCTAGAATATTTTTATTGTATTAGGGATTAACGTATAAAATTGCCGTTTTATTGTAATGGGTTCCTTGAATTGACATAGGATCTTCAGGGTTTGGGGATTTCGAAAGAAATTTTTTTTCAAATGGTATCTACGATATTCTTCTTTTAAAAAATGTGAAACATTTGAATATCGACTTTCAATTGTTTTTGTTATTCAACTTTGACAAAAAAGATACTGTGACAATTTGAGTGAATTCAAGTGGTTTAAACGCTTTCGTGATGGAAACTTCGACTTGAAGAACGAACCTCGTGGAGGACCGCCCACACAGGTGTATAACGATGAATTAAAGGAGATGGTGGAAGCCGATCCTAGTCAAACTACCCAGGGATTCGAGGCATAGTTTAAAGTTGCCTTACCCACAATATTGACTCATTTGCATTAAATCAATAAAATAAAAAAATACGAAAAATGGGTGCCTCATGATTTTACTAATCTGCAGAAAGAAACGCGTGTTGAAACTTGCCTTTTTGAATCGGTACAAAAATGAAGGAATACTGTATCGAATTGTGACATGTGATGAATAGTGGATTCTTTATGATAACCGTAAAAGAAAAATGAAATGGCTGACCCCAGATCAAACGCCACAACAATGTCCTAAAGCAAAACTTACCAATAAAAAGGTAATGGTAACTGTTTGATGGTCTCAGCATGGTGTTATTCACTATAGTGTTCTCCGATCTGGTCAAACAATAACGGTAGATGTCTATTGTACAGTAGCAGTAAAACAGCCCCGACTCATGAATCAATCTTCACAATTGCTCCATCACAACGCGAGACCTCATACAGCACGAGAAACCGTTTTGACCCTTCAGGAACTGCAGTTAGAAACCATTCGTCATCCTCCGTATTCGCCAGACCTTGCTCCAACGGAATACCATTTTTTTCGTGATTTGGACAATTATCTACGTGATAAGAAGTTTTCTTCCCAGGAGGCAGTACAAAATGCTTTCACAGAGTTTGTTCAGTCTAGATCCTCAGAATTCTATCGCAAAGGCATAAATGACCTTTCTATTAGATGGCAGCAATGTATAGATAATAATGGTAACTATTTTGTAACTAATAATAAATAAACAATTTTGATTTTCAGTACACATTGGCAATTTCATACTTTAAGCCTATATAGTTTTTGACTATTATTTTACAAAAAATTAAAAATTATTAATCGTTACCAAGGCTTGGTTATACATTAAAAAATACAGTTGTCAGATTATAATATCCATTCAATTATTAATCAAAACAGGATTATTTTTTTGCTTTCCTATGAATTTGAATATATCGTCATTATTTTTTAGGTAACTCAATTGCAAAAACATTGATATTAATATTTAAAATCTTGATATACCTATATTGGTGTGTAAACTTGTGACAACTAGGTACATCTGGCGTTCCTAATACAATCAAATCCATGTCGACGATGCTAACAACCTTCGCAACGACCAATACGCGTAGATTCTTTTGTTTTCTTCCTAATCCTTCGCCTCGCTAATGACCTAAGCGGTATCAGTCGTGTATACAAAAACCGTTGAGATAAAACTTTTTATCTGTCAGAGAAGTTCGCATTAAATTACCAACGAATTAATCATCCCTTTAGCTTTTTATTTATAGTCAAATTACTTTAGGTATTTATGTATCTGCGTGATTTAATATATTCTGCGACTTAGTAATTTGTCTAGCTATTCTAATTTCAAGAATATTATTCGCAAATACGACCTAAATTATATTTGATTATTATAGGTACAAATTTTATTGACGTATCTAAAAGTAATACTGAATTGCAAGCCTAAAAAAAGTGTCAATGAATACATACATCAAACTTTAAACACAATATTTGAGCAGTCTAGTAAAAACCTGCCAAGTGCGAGTCGAACTCACGCACCGAGAACTCCTTACAAATATAAATTTTAAAAAGCACAAACTTCTTAAGGTTTCCATGTAATGTGTAGGTAATTAAGTATTTTCTGAATTATTTTCAAAATTTTATGCAGAGTAGATGTAGAATTGAATTGATTGATTACAAAGGGAAAATAATTTTCGCTTGTTTTCTTAAGTAACACCAAATTATTAATCTTTAAATTACACCTGTATAAATTAACTGGCACTTGGTCGGGTATCTTTCTCCTTTTAAGGTAAGAAACGAATGTGAAACAAAATTAAAGATTTTAATAATCAGATACTCAATCACGTTACTGAATAAATCTCAATGGTATCTAAGCTCTTTCAAATTTAACTCAATTTTATTAAGCGGTCAACTTTTATAATTGTTTCTTTGAAATCTTCTTGATATTTATTTTAGTCAACAGTGAAAAATAAATAATTCAAATAGGAAGCTGTTCAAAAGCAACTACGCGGATACTCTTTTAAATGTTTATTTTATCGTTGTTTAATTTTATACCTAGCTCATTGCTAGATATTATTTATATTAGATTTTTACGAAGTTATTATTACAAAATCAAACCAAGTAAATAATACAGTTGTAGATGGTAGGTACCTTTATTAAAATATAATAAAGGTAATTTTTTAATACTTAGAGTTTCGATAACAGATTTAACAGGAGTCATTCAACCATGAACTTTTAAAAAAGAATACCGTCACCAAGTGCTCTCACTTCAGATGAGCTGAACACAAAAGACTGGCCAACTGTTTTGAAACATGACGCCTCTTACGTCACTCTGTCTAATAACAACTCTCTTAAATGGTTTCATACATTGTAAAGTCTGAGACTAAACGTTCTATTGTTAGTTGGGGCGCACTTGCTACCGTTTTCGCTTCAGCGGATTTATGAATGGTGTTTAAAGGATTGTTGTTCTCAATGAGAACTACAGATGTTCTTATTGAGAGCATATCTTTCGCATAGCAATCAGTGAGCATAATAAATATTTTCGCAGTTGCTTAAGCTGTGCAGAATAAGTGTGCAGGGTTTGGGACACCTCCTATCATAGTAGGCTGGTACTCCAAAGTTATTTATTTCTACAGACGAGAGTAATATATACAATGTAATGTGTAAATTATAATATACGGTTTAGTTTACATTAGAATGTACATCGTAAGGTTTCAGTGATGTTTATCGGTCATGGAGGCATGCGTCACCTCATCGTCACATCGTATGACCGGTGAACCATTCTGTGACTTGTTAAACGAGTAACACGAGATGCGAGTAAGCAAGGACATCCGGCCGTGTTCGTCCTTGGCAAGGACAGAGGTGACTCACCGAGCGGCTGGTGTAGAGCGGCGTGCGCGTCGCAATCTGCACAGATGGTGGACCGGAGCATCCGCTCGCGCTGCAACCGCCGCAGCAGCTGCAGGTGCTGAGGCGTGAATACAGTGCCCGACCGCTCGCCGACCAATACCACATCGCCAGCTTCCCACCACGCTTGCTCGCGCAAAGTACCGTCCCGATTGAACAAGCCCATATCTTTGTATCCCTCCGGGGGGCTCAAAGCCCCCGGTTCTGGCTCCTGGTACCGCTCGCAAGCACCACATCCTGAACATTCCTCGCCTTCACCCTCGTCAGAATAACCACACTCGTCGCGTACTACGATAATGTAATCGGCTTCGAAGAACTCATTAGCACTCTCGTCGAAAACGACCCTGTGCTTTTTGGTCTTGCTCCCTTTTTTGAGAGAAGACTTTAAGTTATCGTGATCTTTATTGTGGCGCGTGTCACGGGCGGCGCGGTCGCCGCGCATCGTCGCGTGATGTCGCGGCGCGGGCTGTCGCCGGAGTGTCGTAAGTGAACGCGGTGTTGGCGGCGGGCGGTCCGCCTGCAGCGCCGCGCCCGCCTATCGATCGTCGCCACCGCTTCGTCGGGACCCGCCGTCACGATCGGCCACACAAAACATCAACGCGATATCCCACTTGCCTGTAAACATTCATCACCACGCACCACCATTAATTAGACACTTATTAGTGGTCAAAGTCACAAATACACATGTTCATATAAAAATTATATAAGTATTATTTGAAAACGCCTTCATATCTTAGAATGTAATGCACTAAGCACAAAATAGGTTTTAGCTATATACCAAGTAGGTACCTACTGATGGTGAAGGAACTTAGGTATGTGATATAAGTAGATATTTACCTAAAATATTTCCTAATAAAGTTAATTATTAATTTCTATCTACCTTAATTATATAGTAGGTGTACGTACAGTATACACGAAACATTAAGCTGACTTGTCAAAACATTGCTCTGACTAGCCTTAGTCCTACTAGAATAATACTAAAACTAAACTCAAGCAGTTTTATTAATAACCAAGGTTTAACATTGGAGTAAATTTACGCTGAGTGTGCACTTAGTATTAGTAAAAAATCATATAATTATTCAGAAACTTAGCAAAGGTTAACCTAGCACGAGGTTCTATAGGAGTTATATTTACTTTGGACGAATACTAAATTTGCACTAATACTAATACTAACCTGCACTGTTATAATACTAAAGATAAAACTCCAACTCTAGCCTTTGAGTAACCAAATTTGGGCGAAGATTCTCTCTTCCAATGCCTTTCACGATTGATGGTTTTCTACTATACCATTATTTATCATCCAGCTATATTAGGTTACGTCCACGCGATCTATTGTTTTTACGGTATCTGCCCTCAAAAACTGTCTTATCACCGAACTCCGTACAATATGTACAAACCTTTGTGCACCACCCATCTCCTCCTACACTTGGCAATTACGGAGATCACGTCTTTCAGACCATTGCTTTTCAGATCCATTCATTATTCATTGCTTTTGCATTCGCGCAGACTATTCCGACCATTGCTCTCTGTGCAATTGTCTTTTCTTCATTCGGTCTTATCTATTTGATTTTTAAATACCTAGGTTATATCCCTGTTGAATTCATTTAGAGAAAAGACTTTTGCTAGTTTAACAGAAATTGTACGAAAGTTTTAAGATGCTGGTAAGCCTTCCCAATAGCCCTATAAATTAACACTCCCTTATTCTTCTTCTTCTTTTTCTTCATAATTTCAAAATATTAAGTATTAGCTGATTTCCCGTAACTTTCTTTGCGTAGTGATCTATATCACCCATCATCACACATTATGTTGCTTTAAAAATTAAGGGTTGAAAGCCTTTGCAACGCTGCGCCAGTGATGTTATGAAAACAGCGGACATTGCACCCTGTTGTGATTGCCATTTCAGGAAGGAAAAGGCGTAGTAAATGTTGATCATTAAGATATAACGAAACTTTTTTGAATATATAAGGGTGATGTCTGGGTAAAATATATATATAAAAATAAGTACCTCATATTTTTATCTATATGTTACGCTCAAAGATCGAAAACGCTCAGTGAGCGGAAAAATAGCTCACAACGCGTTGTGGTCACAGTAAAACATCCACATGGCGAAATTCGTGTTATGGCTCTAATGAAAACGCGCACGACGCGTTGTGGCAATCACAGAAAGACCAAATAGCGAAATTCGTGTCGTGGCTGACATGCTATTCGATCTCAACGCGTTGTGGCAATGAAGAAAAGCCATCACGCGTATGGAATATTATTTGATTACGACCCACACTACTTTCCGATATGGATCCTACTAGGCCTAGGCTAGAACGTTTTGGTAGATATCCTTAGGAAATATTTTTTATTTTATAAAATCACTGCATAAAGTGTTTGTTATTATGAAATATATTATATAAATTAAAATAAAACGATATTTGTTGTTTATTGAGATTACTTTATATTTAAAAAAATCAACGTATTAATATTAAGTAATAAATTACTGAACACGAAATGTTAATCATTTGTAAATTTCTTACAATTCACTTAAAATAATTAGGTATTTTAATTTTTTTATGACAATTTAAATTCTTTCAAGTAATTAAAATATTTAACACAAACATAAATGTTTATTGTCCACCAATAAACAACAATAATGTACTTAAAATAAGTATTTGATTGCTATTTATTTTTACAGGAACTATTACTGTGGCATTTGGAGTTGCATTTTATATTCTTGGAGCGACACTTGCACTTTTTATCAATACAGTATCTTTTGCAGTGGCACATTATAAACCCTTGCTTACTTCCAGATGATAACATAGATGCTGAGCGAAGTGTTAACGACGAAGTTCGTTACAACCTGTCCATCGTGATATGGTTAAAACAATGAATGCTCAGAACGCATCATGGCTTTTACATTGCCACAACGCGTTGAGATCGAATAGCATGTCAGCCACGACACGAATTTCGCTATTTGGTCTTTCTGTGATTGCCACAACGCGTCGTGCGCGTTTTCATTAGAGCCATAACACGAATTTCGCCATGTGGATGTTTTACTGTGACCACAACGCGTTGTGAGCTATTTTTCCGCTCACTGAGCGTTTTCGATCTTTGAGCGTAACATATATATATAAATATATATATTTAGTCCGTCGGTTCGGTAGATGATAAAAATATGAGGTACTTATTTTTTTCTCTAATTAAACAAAAAATAATATTCATTAAAGTGGAGGAATGGGAGCTCGCTGCGTCAACATATCGACGCTTAAGAACCAAGACACTTTTGAATGCAGTGCTTTTCATGGTTAATTTACGCATCGTTCCCTTTAATCTTCAATAAATAAGGAGTTCGCAATAAATAAGGCGTTATGAGAAAATACCTATACTACCTAAGTTACGTGTCGTAATAATTGTATGGAAATACCATCTATCTACAGAGAATACGTAATTACTCGTTTTAAAATTGAATAAAACTAAGAGTTTTTGTTTGATTAAAGTTTTTCATCTATATTATTTCGTTTCACAGTCAAAGTCAAAATAGTCTTTATTCAAATAGACTTCTTAAAAGTACTTTTTCCTACCACTCGTTCAGGACGTCTTTTGGCTGATAAGAAAAACGGGCAAGAAACTCATCAGCTCTAATAGTAATGACATTCACAAAAACGATATCATTACCAGATCAATACATTATGGAAACAATAAACTGCATGATATCTAATTGTTGTATTTTGCTTGGGACCTTATTGTAGAATCGCACACAAACACCCCTGAATGAGTTACTAACTTTTTGCAGTCTACTGACAGGCACCTCCAATTTATTTTTATTTCTTGTATTAAAATTGTATACATCACTTTTTATAGAAAACAAACTAATATTTTTACGAACGTACATTAAGTTCTCGTATATCTATTGAGGAGCAATAGTCATTATGTCTATTTCCTTAAATTTCTCCCTTTAAGAGTCACTAATCCTAAGATTATAAATTAAACTAATTGCTCTTTTCTGAAGCAGAAAAATCGTTTCCTCACAATAGGATTCCGTGCGACATTACACTATGAAAGTAACTGAAGTATACTAATCTGGCATTATCTATGTCAGTTAAACTACGTATCTTCATTACGGCATATGCTGCAAAGCTAAGTCTATTCGACAATATATCAATATACTACTACTGCCCTACTGTAGCTTAGAATCTAATGTTATTCCTAAAAATACTGTGGTATCCATAAGGCTCATTTTCTTATCTTTTATATTTACATTTATATTTACTTTTTAACATTAGGTAGTACAAATTTTAGGCATTTTGTTTTTCCTTAATTAAAGAGAAGATTATTTACATTAAACTTATGTACTACTTCAGCGATAGAATTGTTCACATCGTCATAGAGGAAGACCTCTTTTAATTTTAAACAAAAGTGAAGTGTCATCCGCAACAAAACTATTTCGTGATTATCCCTTACGAAATAAGGCAAGTCATTTATGTAAATTAAAAAGAAGAAAGGAAGAGAAGTATTGAGCCTTGTGGAACACCCATCTTAACTTTCGATCCAAGGGATATTTTGCCATTGATATCAACCTTCTGCACTCTGTCAGTCAAGTATGAGACCATAAAATTCGCAAATATTTTAACTAATACCAGCTATCTACAGTAATTTTTAAACTAATATAGATTTCTTAAAATACATGTAAACACCTTATTTCCCATGCCTATCCATTAAATGATCAGATATCAAAATAAAAAAATGTTTGTAGTAAAAATAATGAAACGGTTTTTTCGTCTCCTGTAAAATCGACTTTTTGTATATAGATGGTCTTGGTTCTTAAGCGTCGATATGTAGAAAATGTACAAAGATGTGATGTCATGGGTCATTAAACCCAATAAATCGCCGTAATTTATTCATTACGCAAAAAATAAAAAAGCGTGTTTAATATTTAATATATAATCTACCTGATAGACAGACAAAAAATGAATTATAATCCCTGTTACACATTCGGTATACTTTACGTATACCAAAAGAATACTCGGATATTTTTCTGTTTAGTTCTGAGGATGATGCGTGTTTTGTTTCTGTAAAACCTCGAGGTTTGATATATCAAAATTATTCTATAAATCATTATAACAGTTCGAACTGTTCAGTGATCGTTATTCATTAACATGGTAAATGTTGAGAGAGTGTAGGTATTTTTCGGTGCAATTTAGTTAGATTAGTATTATATTCTGATAAATATTAACATATATTCAAATGAGGATTAAAAATAATGACAAATAATTCAATACTAACATTTACCTATTTATGTTGGTAAATATCAAGATTCACCAGTATAATCTAAGATATGCCAACATACGGACTTAAACAGAATCATATTCACTAGTTATTATTTTATTAAAGATTTGTTTGTTTGCAATGAATAGGCTCTGAAACTACAGGGGAGCTAATTCTCTCCCCTGTAGTTTCAGAGTCTAGCCAAAGATAAACAAAGTTATTACAAAAA